AATCCGACGCTTATATTAGATCGAAGAAACTTTGATGAAATTTTCCAACAAGTAAACGCACGAGCGACGAAATTATCAAGTGACAATTAAACGACAGGCTTGTAATTTAAGAGAAGAGGATATTAGGTGTAATATACACTTTGCACCAATTAGAGTCCAAGAGCCGATGGCAATTGAGTGTAATTTGCCCCACATACTAATTCGCACTATTCGAAACTTACAGGTTTTGTCAATTATACTAATTACAGAAAAGGTAGAAGGCTCTTGCAATTAAAAAGTCGACAGGCGGTCTCTTTTGAATTGCTTTACAACGCAGAAAGGGCTCTTTGTTAAACTGCGAGAGTGTGTGTGTGTGTGTGATCATACACAAGAGGCTTTCAGAATGACTGTACTTTTTTTGCCTCTACAGACTTTATCAAATTAATAACTCGAAAATCAAAAACTAACTTTTTACTAATTACTGCACCACCCCAATTCAAGTCAATCATTAGATAAAATGTATCTATTTTGTATTATGTGAACGCAACAATAATTTGTACATCTTCATATTTCAGTATTTTTCCTTTTTATAATTTTTTGAGACAGCAAAAGAATAACGTTTTATAGTTTCGTCAATTCGCAAAAAAAAATCTTTTTTCATTCTTAGAATCCCATTTTATTAACTTTGTATTTCACAAAAATGTATTAATTAAAAAAACTGTGCAACAAAATCGTAGGTATTTATATTTAATTTTAAAATTTTTTAAGTCCTTTTTCATAGCTTTTTTGGATATGTATTAGAAAATATAAATTAAAAAAAAATGTGTGGTTTTAGGAAACCACGATGCAAGTAAAACTTTATTTTTTTAATTTTATTTTGTTTATTTTATTTTTATTCAGATGGCAGTCCTGATTTTTTGATACAAATTGTCAGCGGAAACTTTGACAAGTTTGCATTTTATTCATTTTGAGTGAAATAATGTTACAACAGAAAATTTTTATTGTTGCAAATTATTACAAAAATGCTGTACAAGACAAAAACGGTGAATGGTCTTTTTCACTTTCAGTTTGTGTGGAAATTTTCCAGCCCAGATTCCCAGCCATTGTGTTGTCAACTGTCGCCTACTCTAATTTATTTTTTTTTGATTGCACGTTACTAAAAATGACAATAACATTCAGTGATTCCGTGTCTTTCAAATTTAATCGTTACTCACTTGTATACTTTAATCAATCGCTTTAACTAAGCACGCACATGCTTTGTTTTGACATTTTAATTGATAATCAATAAAGCACGGGATGATTTGTGATGTACTGTGACACAAGAGACTATGTTCACATGACCTCTCCGCAAATGCAATGTTGCAAAATAGCACTAAAGTTTCATTTAATTAAGTTGTCGGTCGTTCCCAGAGCATCAAACCGACAAATTTTCGTAATTATTGTAAATATGATTCGGTTCAATGTTTGATTTGATTAAAATTTAATTACACAACCGACGTGGAAATTGGTTATCAATTTGTGTAGACATTGTCTGTATCAGCGCGAATTTTAAACAGTTTTTTCACTTTGCATAACAATTATCACAAACATTAATTCATAATTAGAAAATTGTAGTTTTTTCGAATGAATAATTAATGACACATCGAATGGGAAAACTTTTTTATTTGAAGACCAATCAAGCAACAAATATTTAATATACCAATGCACACATTTATTAAAGCACTTGCGTCAGAAGGGAATATTTTTTCTCTATTTAAAAGTCGGACATATTATTACCATAATTTGTTAACAATAAAGCAAAAAACTCGACTATTGTAGTAGAAAAGTGATGGATAACGTAATGTTCTATGAATTATCAAGTTTTTATTGCGTAATTTCAATCCCATAGGACTGTAGTTAATTCGATTTTGAAATTTTAGGACCCTTATGTCTCATCCTTACAATAATTTACACGCAATTTCAGATTAAATGGACTCAGACAAACCCATATTCATAATTAAATTGAAACACTTGTGGCTAAAGGTCTCAAAAATCTGACGTAATTGTTTGAGCAACGTATAATTTGTTTGAAGATCGATAGGTTATTTTTAGATGCAAGTGTCGAAGATCATATTATAAATAATTAACTTGTCTATTATTCCACGCTTGCCGTAAACATTAAATGTGCGCCTTTGTTCTATCATTCATCAAAAATTTTTATTTTGTTGAAATTGTTGAGACGTTGAACAGGCGATATGTCAAAACAAAAGCTTTTTTATAAAACAGGTAGCTTCTTAATCGAAAAAAATCGATAAAATTTTATGGCCTTGACATTAATGTAAAGCATTCAAAATATCATTCCGGGACGTTCCGGAGTGTCATTAAAATTCACTTAGTTGAAGTGGATGTGACATGACGGTCTTTCTGTCAAACAGCAACGAAATTTTACTCCAATTTTTTATTACAAGAAAAGATGTTGAAATGACAACGCATGAATAAAAATAAGAAGACATTCTATTATAAACATACAGTATAACAATAATTTTACGCAACATTGCAAAGTCCATAAGTTAAAACGGTGCAATCCTATTGAGAGGGTTTCCTGAAGTAAGAGAAAGACAGCGACGAATCGAAACAATTTGTTGTTACTAATTAGTAATTACTATGCCCATGTAATTAATCTTGCTTCCTCCTTTTGTTTCTATAACTCTTCAACTCATAACAGAAGCGATGCAGCTTAAAATTATTATTATACGGTATATCCACTGAGAAAACCTTTTTACAAAAAACTTAACCTCAATACATAATCTGTACACCTATGTATTAAATTTTAGTCGCGTATAAACTTGGTATTTGTAATAATTTATAAAATTAAATAAAGCTCCTGTTTTTGTAAATAACCTAGACTGAACTTGTTTGATTTTGGAAAAAAGTGGCCAAATTATAAATAAATATTCAGATCCTCGAACGAATGAGGAATGATAGGCGAATGTTATTTTACGAGTCTGCTATCATGCTTGAGAGAAATAAAAGTCAAAAAGTGGCGTGTAAAATGCGATCTTAAAGATGCCTTTTCCTGTAAAATTATTAATGTCAATTGTGCCGAGGAAAAACGAAAGAACAAACGTTTCCGTGAAAATCGACTTTTATATTTTGAATTTGGAAGAATGTATTTCTTGCGAGCAACTCGGAGATAATTAAATAATGGACTGTGGATTTAATGGACGAAACAACTTCCTGTTTTCGCCGATAATTCATCGCTTCCTGTCAATACAATGGACTGTTCGATATAAATCGGCGTTGAAGCGCAGCTTTTTACAGTTTTCATAAAATTGTCCCACAATCACATCACTGTTTTAATTTATTATTTATATCGAGTTTATAATAGTTTGACGAGAGCTATTGTGAATTATTTACGTCCAATTATGCCACTGTTAGTATCTGAATGCTAAAAATGGATAAATCTCATAAATTTAAATGTGTTATAAAAACACGTAGGTACTAGCTGAATCTACCTCTGTAAAGCCGCAATAAATAATTTATTTGTTGCTCTTCCATTCACTTTTTTTACATCCCATCTAACAATATAACAAATTATGTTGCAATAATGACTTTAATTTAAATGGTACGACGAAGGACACCGATAAACATTCTTTAATATATAAAAAAATAATTAGTTTGGTACTTTGGTAGTACACTTATTAAAAATTCTTTTCATTGTCTATTCCTTCGACTAAAAAAAATATAATACTCAAGTTATTTTTATTTTCTCTTTCCAAACTTAATTAGATTCTAGTGAAAAAAATAAACAAACATTTTAAAAAGAAGCGACTACCTATTTCAAGAGGTTTACGGAAAAAGAGTTTCACCACCAAACATTGCGAATTTTTATTCGACTAGTAATTTCCAGAGGTGCGCGACTAAATAACCTCAAGTTTTAATTTACGTCTCTTAAATACGTTTACTAATTATAAAAAGTCTATGTTAAGCAAGAATTTTAAAAGAAAGTAAAATATATAACTAACAATCAGAATTTTTTTTTAATAAATCAGTTATTATAAAGCTTTAAACGTTTATTCTTATAATAGTGTGAAAAGTACCAGGTCAATAAAAAGTATGGAACCAAACGTTTTTTGCTTAAACCATTTATTTTTTGAAAAAACTAATTGATGAGTGATAAAGTACTATAAAAATGTGATGATTTAACGAGAATAAAATTTTTCGAAATTTCCTTTTGTTTTTGAGTTCTACAAAAAAAAATATTTTTTTTAAATGGCAACCCACTATAAAATCATTTTTCTCATAAAAGCTATACTCTAAAGACTAAAACGCACTAAAAAAATCGCATAACTCAAAAACAAAACAAAATTTCGTTCTGAAAATACCATCACATTTTTTATATTACTTTAATTTATATAAATTATTATTTTCTAGAGGCAAATGATTAAAACTAAAACCGCTTGGTTCCATACTTTATATTCACCCTGTATGTAAATGTTTTTGTCATATTCTTTGACAAGAAATGGTTTATGTATAGCAACAAACTCGTCCAGTAATAATTACCTTTCCATTTACACACTGAAATTAACCGATTGAGAATAGAGTACACAAACACGCACCGTTAATGGTAAAAAACTGTAAAAATGTTTATTTAAAATTTTGTTTGAACATTTACTTCATACCACGTCGATAATAATCAATCCAAAAATGACTCAAGCATTGCTATAAATTTCGAACCGTTTTGTCTGTATTAAATCAAAAATGAAAAATGTTTATTCATTAAAAATATTTAGGTAAGAATGGTTTAAATCAAATAATCAATTGAGATCGATGAATATTACAGAATGCCTAACTTCTAGGCGCAAGTGTAAAAAAAAATGGACTAACCTCGGCGGCAAGTTTAAAATTTGCTCAATTAACGAGCAAAAGCACGTAATTTATAGCTTCTTATCTATGTTTTTCTCTAAATATTTTGGTGGAAAGTGACAGTGATGAAGGTCGCGAATAAAATTCCTGTTTGGGTTTGCTTTCGTAATACTTACGATGTGATGCATCCGATTACGCGAAGCCACCGACTGTACATAGAATCGTTCCCTTTGTTGTGGCAGTTTAATTACATGCTAATTTAGAGAGGAAACCAATCCACAATATCGTCAAAACACATTAATTTACACGTTCACTAGATTTTTGTTGTGAGAGTAACGTTACTTTGGTAACCTGATTTACAGCACAATTTTTTTTTCTATCCAAGCTCGTTTACTTCCGCCACCATTACGACAAAACCGCACCTCGGTATTTCCCCGGAATCACCGATTTTTCCTCTCTTGAATCTAACGGAAGGACAATAATCTATCTGCGGGGGCGACGCAATGCTCACGAAACGGACGCCGGCAGTCAACTGTTCCGTCCGTCGCCTCCTGCGACCATGTTTTCATATTGGCCTGCGCAATTTTCACCACCCAAATATTAAGATTAAATCTAATGGCAGGGTGGTTGGGTGTTTTATACGAATTTAAATTAACACACGTGTGTGTTAGAGCAAAAACACCAATCAACACCAACTTGAAGACTCTTCATCGGAATGCGTCATGCCAAGTAAGTAAAGATTTTTTTTCTTTAATCATTGCAATTTGTGTTACAATCACGTCGTATACTAACTTATTAAACAATTTCGTTTAGAAAATTGAATTAACACTTGTTAGTATTATTACTTATTAAGTCAATTTGATTATCACTTAGCGGCAACTGCTTTAAAGTTTCTCTCTCTAAATTTAGTGACTAGTGTTATATAATTGATTATAATATGTAGGTAGAGCTATTTCAACAAATAATGAATAATTGATTTTTTAAAAGTAGGTAACTTCTCTAGCTGATTCCCGATCCTCAAAATCCTTCAAAACCACTATAGTATACATTTTGTTATTTCGTAACTAATTTGATGGGATCTCCAACTCCAAGGTTACAGGTTTAATTGAGTCAATTCGGCTTGTACAACACAAATTTTATTTACAACTAAACCAATGTCAAAATGATTTAGCTTGAGTTTTTATCAAATGTCTGAAATTTAATTGTATACATTTTATTTGATGTTGGCTTAGTGTTATTATGGTGCAAACATAATCGTTGAGTTTCCTTATAATCTAGACGTGATAAGATTGTTGATGTGTTGAGTTAAGGCAAGTTTATGGGATTCACACAATCGACATTGTGCGCATCACTCTTATCGATTTATGAGAGAATGCAATGTTTGGCAGTAATTTAGTGCATTGGTTCACACTGTAGACTTTAATAATAAAAGACAATTGGAAAATTTTATCGATGGTCAGACAAATTTTTCCATTAAACGGACAAAAACGTTGTTGATTTATTACTAATTAGGTAAATTTGCTGTAAAAAAGTTCCTCGCTTTTATTACTCCAATTTCCACTTAATTGCACGCAATAAGTCGTAAAATGATCTTCCTTACCGTATTTATTCCAGCAGCAGACGTTTAAGCTAATCATAAGAGTCATTAAAATTATAAAGTGTAAACAATCTCTTTGAAATGAGTTGTAAAACCTATGTTTGCCTACTTAAAATCTATTCATCCGAAATTATACTTTTTTATCCACACATTGACTATGTATTAAGTTATAAAAAAATTTTTTATCAGATATTGAACTTTATTTGTCTATTTTTTTTAAATAGCCATTACGTCTTTTATGACACAAGAAATAAGTTTGGACTGTCCCGTTTTAGGGCTCTCTGGGGACGCCTGATCGACTCGTGCCGTTCAAATTTGAGCACTAAGTTAATCAAAATCATAGAAAACTCCTCTGAGAATTTCATTCAGATGCTATCAACTTAAATCACCACGATAATATACGTCTGAGGTTTCATGCTAAAACTTAAGATATAAAAAGTTAAAAAAATCTTTTTAAATGTGTTAATTTGCGGCTCAACGCTACAAAATTTAAAACGAACTTCTTTCGAAAGCTCATCATCCATCAATATCAATGCCCATATCATTAAACCCGCTGACGTCTTTGAAAATCCTTCCAGGATATTACATTTTTCATGTGACAACTTTCAGTTAGGGTGAAAGAAAGTTTCAATGATCGTAAAAAAAATTGAAACAGAAGATTATTAAATTAAGGTCTATATAAAAACCCGACGATCAATTTTCGGACGAGACTCTCGTTGATTCTGTTTGTTATGTCCTTGTTTGTCTTTTATCGAAAAAGCAGATACTGGAAAAGATCAAAGAATTGCGGGTCATGTATATGGACGAGTAAAAAAAATCTACCAAAAATATAAAAATGGCAAATTTCACTTATCTCGCTTTCCCATTTCCTTTCAACTTTCCTCTAGGGTTGGATAAATGTGAGCGATTATAGTGTTCGAGATGGTAATGCACGTCGTCGTAAGGTTCTTTTGAGCCTTTTTAATGTTGATAAAGTTTGTTTACGGATGTGTTCTGTGAATAGGACATTCCAGCCAAGCTACTATATACGTATGTTGAATAAAAACGACAATCATGTGAGTCTGCGAAAATGCACTAAATTAAATAAATACACATATATTAAAAAAAGTCTTCAATGGATTTGTTCAGAACGTTAAAAGTTCCTTCATTAAAAAAATAAACTACAAAATCTTTCGTCGTTCTTTATCAGACCATTTTTAAAATTATAACGTAAAGAAACTGACGCGACGTAGAATTAATTTTCTCATTATATGTAGATGTGGCGTAATTTAATCTCTACAAAAACGAGAAGCCTTAAAGAATTCCAGTACACAATGCAGATCTCTTGTAATATTGCAATTTAATTTCAATTTAACTTCTATCCAGACTCAAATTCAATTTTAATATTGTATACAGACTTAAATTTTCTCCGATCCTCATCCTGTTGATACGAGAAATATTTACCAGTTTAATGGTCACAATTACTGTACCAGTTTTATTTACAATCTAACTACAACATTTTACAAGAAATGTCTATTGTTAATAGAGATGACTAGCGTTTTGTTTGAGTGAGGGTTTAAAACAATCGTGTCTTATTGTCAATTTGTTGCACAATATAATATGCCATGACTGGTAGAATGCCGTAAAATAGAATGTAGCAAAATGATATCATCTTTAGATTCACAAAACTCTCAATTATCTTCTCAGCAATTCTCAAATTTTTTACGATCTCTCCTTAAATCAACTGAAACTTTGTACGTAATAAGGATGACAGAAATGACTTTCTCCCATCATACCTACCACACTTCTGAATTAGATTATCTTTGTTAATACTGTAATTTAATGTTCGTGACGTTAAATCAATAACTTGCAATTTAAATTAGATTATTGAATTCTGCTTTTGATTAAAAAAATAATAATTGTGTTGATGTTCGACAAAAGAAGGATCCGTAACGTAATAAAACTTTTAATTCACCCAATGAAAGTGTCACTGTTCCAATTACGATAGAATCTAATAATTCTATCCGGGATGATGAACGGCTTCATTATACTTTCGACATAGCCGATTATCCCACGAAATATATCAATGTGGGAGTGTTAGACAAACTCATAGTAATCATCGCTAAATAGTCCAAAACTTTAATCATAAATGTGCACCTGCGCCGATCAATATTCGAAAAAATTTCAATCCTGAGAATGAGGTTAAATTTTCGATAATTATAGATACTAACTAACACATTATGGAAGCTCGTCCGTCACTAAGTGACAAAAATAGCCTCAAAATGTATTTACTCTAATAATAACGCAGAATTAGGCGAAATTCCACTGACAATTATTAAGAAAAAGTCGCCAGTCATCCTTTTCGGAAATAAAAAGCATTAAGAGCGACAATTGACTGTGGGAGTTTACAATGAATAAAAATTATTATTCCGTATATACAAGGTATTCCGTTTTGATTGTTACAAATTTAAACAGGAGATAGAATTAATATTCAGTTTTAGGACAAAAGTTGAAATATTGAAATTTTTAATCAGAGGCTTCCTTTTCTCATGAAGATTATAATCTAAGGATTACAACTATCTACTTTATATTTAATTTTTTCAAAACAAAGTTTCTACATACTCGTAAATTCCAATTTTGAGAAAAAAATCGCATTAAATTACAAATTACATTTTTATATTTCTCTAATTTACAGTATGTCCCCGGATTGAATTCACAAGAGGAAAAAAAATTGTATCTTTAATTCTAAGCCAAAACTGCAAAGGACTTTAACTTTTCTTTTCACTGAATCTGAATAATAAAGTTTTAATTACAGATTTGCTCGTTTCAAGTGAAGCAAAAAATGTTTTTCCTTTGCAGTTTTGACGTAAAATTAAAATTTTTTTTTTCTTGTAAACCCAATCCGAGGATATACTGTATATTAATTATTATTTTCTAAAGACAAATGATTAAAAAAAAAAACGTTTGGTTCCAATACCTACTTTATATTCACCCGGTATATGAATCTAGATCTAGAATCTAGAGTTTTGGAACAAACTAGATTATGACAAAAATTCACTTCAAACTTTTAAAAAAATATCCGAAACAATCTGCCACCTGTTTGTTTTCAAAACTTGATCCACTCAATCATTAGCGAAAGTTTGCTGAGGCCACTTTTACGAATTTTACCCCTTGATACTTGACGAATCAAGTGTTACAAAGTTTTAGAGGAATAAAAGTACACGATTAATTTTTTTTCGTATATGGCGTCAAAAGTGAACTACTCTTACGAAACAATTAAATTGACACAGTGTATTTTGTTTGAAAAAGTTAAAATTTAAGTTTTTTAAAATTCAACTACCTACTCGTATAATAAATTAAATTTCAACAGATTCATAGAAATCAATTTTTACATAATAATTCTTAAATCCCGATACAACAATAATTGTTTATCAACTGAGAAATTAGAGAAATAATTTTTGACAATAGAATCTATTTATTAAACTTACATATAAAAAAGTATATACAGGCTCGCTAAAAAGTATTGATACAGCTAAATATTACTCTCCACCACAGAGCCGTAACCAGGATTTCTTGTTGGTCCATGAAAATAAAATGAAAGAAGGCGGATTAAAAATCAAAAATCTCTAAGTACACGTTTTTATTTTAAATTAAAATAAGAGATCATAATTAAACACAAAAAAAATACAAATTAACTCACAAAAGTAACAAAAAATAAAATAAATTTTTAATGCTTTTTATTATTACAAATTTAAATAGGAGATAGAATATACATTTTTAAAACAAAAGGTTTCTATGAACATATATCGAAAAATGCTACGCTACTTTTAATAGGTTTTTTTTCAATATTTCCGAAATCATTTTAGAAAAAAATTTCAAAATTTGGTACAGATGATAATTTTTATACACCTAAACAAGTACAAAAATA